TCGCTCCCTCCCTTTCATACATTAATCGGCTCAAGACTACCTCTTGTTTTTGTTCTATAAATACAAGGTCTAAATTTCGTTGTGTGCTGATTATTTGGGTTTTGGGGGGGGGGGTTGGGGGGGTATTGTTTTGGTGTTTGCTATTGGGTTAGTTTGTTGTTGCTGTTGTTGTTGTTGCTGTTGTTGTTGTTGTTGTTGTTGTTGTTGTTGTTGTTGTTGTTTGTTTGTTTGTTTTGTTTGTTTGTTGTTGTTGTGGTTGTTTTTTTTTTTGGGGGGGGGGGTTGAGGTGTCCTTTTTTTGTAGTTGTTGTTTTTGTTGGTCAAAGTGTTAATCGTGAGAGTGACCGGAAATGGACTGTTTAAGCCAATGCACGAGCGTAGGTTGAAACCTGGAAATATACAGTAAACAACACATTTTTGGGCTGAGTTTTCAGCGTGGGCGTTATCAGAACACCTGGCAGCCACACCTTCGTGTGAACATTCTATATGTGAAGCGTGCTGACAAAACGAGTTACTTCTCAGATTCAAGCATTAAAGAAACAGATAAATCACGCTTATATGTGAAGTTTTTACAGTGTTTTAGTATGAAACAATAAAAGACAGGTTATAGTTAAAGAATATGGCATCAATTGAAAATCTACAAGTTTGACCCTAATGTCGATTTTTGGCCACTATCTCCATTTCTTGATTGCGAGAAGTAACTCATTTTGTCAGCATGACTCACATATGACAGAGATTTAACCATAGAAATGATTGAAAAAAGGCGGTTTTGTTTTTATTTTTGTTTTTTAGTCAGTGTCTGGCGCTCATATGACCTTATCCAGTTGCGAGCGCCGTAAAACCTCTCCTAGAACTAATTCAGTGTACTTATACCATTACGTGGAAAATGGGACTCGTCATGATGCAATGAGCAATCCTATCTTTTTTAAAATCAGATTGTTAAATGTGGGAGTGATCGGAAACAGACGGTTTAAGTCAATAAACATGGGTACGATGAGATAAGTCAGTTTTATGCTCAGGACAATGTGCTCTGGTGTGCTCGTGTGTGTGTGTGTGTGTATGTGTGTGTGTGTGTGTGTGTGTGTGTGTGTGTGTGCGTGTGTGTGTGTATGTGTGTGTGTGTGTGTGTGTGTGTGTGTGTGTGTGTGTGTGTGTGTGTGTGTGTGTGTGTGTGTGTGTGTGTGTGTGTGTGTGCGTGCGTGCGTGTGTGATCCCTTCGGTCATGTATTTCTATAGTCTGTTGGTTCTTTAATGAAAGAATACAATAATTATGTAGCCCTCTCGTGTTTATCCACTAAGATATTGAACCACCGTTTCTTCCTAGAGACAACCTTGAGCCTAAGCTTCACACCACGGACGCTGGTGCGCAGTCTAATTTTACGAAGATTTTGAGCATAAATTCTGTTAGATCTAATCTCATTCCCGATGTTCATTCTTTCTCCAAAGAATATGCGTATGTTCAGTGAATTCCCCCACGTCACGGGAATCAAACCCTGGCCTTCTCTGTGCAGGATATAGCCTACCATTGTACATCAGACGCCGGCTGAAAGTCTTTTTTGTGAACACTTTGAGCACGATAACTTCTTGTTTCCTCTCAACAATGACTTCAATATAGTAGTATTAGTAGATCATTCTCTCGCGCTCTCTCTCTCTCTCTCTCTCTCTCTCTCTCTCTCTCTCTCTCTCTCTCTCTCTCTCTCTCTCTCTCTCTCTCTGTATCACTCGACCTCTCTTGTGCAGATTCTTATAATTCATTTGAGTTGATCTTCTGTTCAGTTACAACTTTTTCTCTGGGTCCAGCCTGGAACGATAACGACAATAGCTCGAATCCCAGCACCTCTTCTTCATTAAGTTCTGATATGTTGAGTAAGTTTAAAGTTAGCATGATTGATCTGATTTTCATTCGCCCAGTGACAGTCGACTCATCTGCAGGCAACTAGATATAGCTAAATATTGTGACTGTTGTTTCGTCATCCCAGAGATTGCAGAGTCTATCGGCTCAGTA